TGACATAACTGACAGCATGAACTTGACAGTACAAGACACACAGACATAAACACACGAAGGGCAAGGGAGACGTAATGCAGGGGTAACATAATTACAAAAAGGGCTGGACTACCTTAAAGAACCTAAGCAAACAATAAACATCAAAATAGGTTAAGCATAACACACTGGGTCACACGACCCAGGACCATGACACGGTCAACAGAAATGACAGTCCTCGTCTTCTATCCTTCGAGCCTACTGATTCCTTCTGTGCCAAAATATTTTTTTAATTTGGTCATTTTCACAGAAGTGGTTTTGTTTGTTACCCCAAAAAGAAGAGAACCCAGCATGTCTGTTCTTTTTTGTTGTTGTCGTTTCTTGATCATTCTGTCATTTTTTTTGTATAATTGCTACATTCATAAAAATTGATATTACTGTCAAATAGATTTTTGACATTATAAAACATTTTTATGTTTTATGTTTTAATCTTACCTTGATCTGCTGGGTGAGACTCAGGCATGATAGCCATGGATATGTCTCCCTGTTGTCGTGATTGGTTAAACATTGATGACATCACCACAGGACATACTGAACCGGTCTCAGGATTATCCCCGATTTGGTTGGTGTTCTCATTTGTGACGACAGCCTCATCCCTGAGATGGAGCGATGCTAGTGATGACGTTAGGTAATCAGCTGGCTGAAGGTTGTCGTCCTCTGTGCTGTGCTGTAAATTCTGATCTGCCATTTTGAAAGCGCTAACTTAGTATTGTTGTTGTGCAGCTAGGATTTATTGAGAAGGTGAAGCAGCAGGATGTCGGCCCCACAGTGTGGTTGATCACATACTATCAGCTTACAGTTATACTCATGGCTGAGAAGAGAGAGGGTGGCAGTGCAGAGTTCATGGCTGCCCAGTGTTGTGGAGGTAGAGCGTGTTCCTCACCTTGAGTCTTGGTTTTAAGCATATCATATAGTAGATTGATGGCACTGCCAATAGATCCAGTTTTCACTTCCTTATAATCAGTGGAGTTTTCCTTATTCAGGTGCTCTTGTGCTTCGTCGCTGTTTGCTCAAAGGGGTTCATATCTGGGCGCAATGGAGAACAATCACACTCTACCGATACGAGTGCTTCTTATATACCTCAACACTAGTAGCTAAGCTGTAAACTGCTAAAGAACAGCAGGCTGAGGAAAAACTGCTCAATTTGTGCTTCGAGGACCCATGCATCATCTCATCTCAGGAAACCTAAAAGACACAAATTTTCAGTTATTCTGACCAAAATCCTTATACACATTACTTCATAACTATCCTGCAAGCTATACACCTGTATAGCTTACATTTTTTCTATGGATCGGTAAGAGGGAAACTTTCCAGATTTCCTGGGCCAGTGTGCATTAAACTAAGAACTTGTTTCTACAACCAACAGCAGTGCAACAACAAGTAATTTGTACTGTGCATGGCAGGGAAAGGAGACTTATTTAACTTTTTGTGAATGATCAAATTCAGATTTATTAACTGGATCCGGGACATCACCTCCCAGGTCACTGGGAGTCACTATGGCAGTGACACAGTGAATATCAAACAGACAGCCTTAGATGTTCATTGGAAGGTTTGCAGTTTTCAAATTTTGAGATTTGTACACATTTGCAGAAGATGCTTCAGTCAAAATCGTTGCTATCTTAAATTTGTTGCAGTATTTAGTTTTTGTGGGGTTTGTTTGCAGCCTTATATCTTTTTTTTGTTTTTTTGTTTTTTTGTTTTTTGCTTGGTTTGTTTTCAAGAAATTCGTAAGAAGAAGGAATACTGTGACTAATTTTGCTTCGTCTCACACTTTCGTTGTCGCTTGCTCCGCTCTGCTCAGGTCGGGACAGCAAGCATCAAGGCTTTGGTGAGAGTAGCATTGCTTCAAATGTGGTGTGAGCAGGTAAAAAAATAAGCGTCATCAATTATTTTACTGGTAAATGCAGTCAAGTGTGGCATTTACTGCAACTATTGGCAAAGCCAGTGGTTTTTGGACCTGTTATTAATACAACTGGCTGAATTTCACTGGCATGAAATGATATTTGGTAGCCTTTTGTCACTGCTAGACCTCTCAGTGTAAACACGTCCTGCACATCATTGAGAGAAATTTGAGCTGTGTTTGGCAGTACTGTGCTCTTAAAAAATGCCACTAATTCTTTTAACGTTAGGAAAAACCCATTACTTACATATGAAGTGTTCAGTGCATCATCTGATGAGTCAGATGTACGCATATCAGCTGTGAGGGCTTGAAATGTGATGCAGCATGTGAAAACCAGGCTAAATGTTCATCTCTAACATTTTTATGTGCAGATTTATCGTTTATTTTTTAACTCGCAGATGTTAACTTACAACATCTGTCCCTTGAATTATTGTGTGTTAGAAACAATGTAAGTAGAAATACTCAATCTTAACACATTCATCAATAATGAAACTTCTGATTTTAAAAAAAATCCTCTAGGTTTACAAGAAAATGGTAAATTGACACGAATCGCATAACATTATTTCCACAGACAAATCCTGAAAAGCTGCCTACATTACTGAGGGCAAATTCCCCAGGTTGACGTTTGGGGCTGTACTTGTTAGGACTTGGGTAAAAACGATGCGTTATTTGCAGATTTTTGCTACGCATTCATTGAATGAAATGAATGCAAATGTAATGTATCAGTCAACACTAGTGTGTTTCTCTCATGCACAGAGACACATACACAGACCAGTGGAATCGAGAAAAGTAAGTCAAATCATAAATAACCATAAAATAAGGGGCAGGGGTCCCGTGGGGTTATAAAGTATATCTTGCATTTTTTAAAATTTATTAATTTTTTTCATTGTGATGAAGTATTTTGACTTGAAAAGCTCGTTAGACAATTGCAACAATTTCTGACACACTCGTTTTTACAGACGTACTATCATATAAAAACACCAGCGTGTATTTAAAAAAATAGTTTTTAAATTTTTTTTATTGCTAAAATACAAGGCAGCGTGAAATCCTCAGCACTAAATGGTATCACCCTGAATTATTCAAGAGATACCTGGTGAGATTTAAAAATACGTCCAATTAAAAAACATTAATATTATATCAAATATTCAACCATTTATGTAACAGATCTTCATATGTAAAAGTAGCACATTTGTGAAAATACTGATAAGGCTGCCTACAGTTGTGTTCTTTTACAAGACCTTATTTAAGGGAACTAATGTGACAATACCACATAGTTGACCTCTTGTGTTTATCTTTGAATTAAGAATTGAATTTGTTTGCAAATGTGGCACATCATGTTGTGATGAATAACGTCTTTGACAATGAAGAGATTGCAGTTGCTGTCATTGTACGCTGCAACTGAAAAACAAATCAGCTTCATTTAATTTATTATACTAACAAAACCTTAGTAGTTATGAATGTGGTAAAATGAGAAGAGTGATACTTCTCATTTGACCAGATTTTAAATATATATACTGATTTTTTGTTATGTCAAATTTAGTTTTTGAGATTACTTAGAACAGGGGAAAAAAGCATATGTAGTTACTAAATTGTCAAATGTAATGTGTCCAAGTTATGCAACATTACAGACATTACAGATTTTCAGACCACTGAAAATGGCGTTTTACGCGGTACGCAACCATCATGGATTGATGTTCACCGTACATTTTGTCGATTTCCAGTTGAGATGAGATACTAAACATGATTTTGCCCAAACTTACAAAAGTGTCATTATTGCATCCAGCCAGTTTTGTCGTGTTTTAATACTTTCCGGACCCAATCCATCTGGAATGGCACAGCTGTACCATAACCATTTTTTTGGTTCGCAAGTCAGAAAAATGTCCTATCTGAAAAACTAGCAATCTTTCAGTCGTGACCTTATCATTTACGCCACTTGAAACGCCACTGACAGTGGCCAGTTTGGTCTCACAAATATGTTGCATTACACAACGTCTCATACTTTCACGTAGTCTGCGACAGTTGGTAAATCTGTCCAACGTCTCTCAGATAGTACTGGAGAAACTGATCATATGTTACCGGTTTGGTTTTGGTAGTTTTTTGGTTTTATTTTAATTTGGGGGAGGGGTCATTTTGCAGCTTAGCTTGTGTTTTTAGTGTCTTATCAATGAATGTTGAACCCCACAACAAAAACGAAACAGCTAATATACGCCATTTTTTTCTTCAACGCCTTCAAGCTTCTCATCCTGTACCAGAGCTTCGACAACGAAGAGACGTGAAGGCTAAACGTTAACAGAACTTTCAAAATGGCAGCGTCTGGTAGAACTAACGTCCAGAGAACCTGAAAAAATGAAAGATCATTATCAAACTTGGATGTACAGGAGAGTACGCACCTACCTGGGCTCAGACAGAAGGGACCGGGCGACATGGGAAACCAGCGTTTCATCGGTATCCACGAAGCAGCGAAGAGACGTGGCTGGACGCACACGTGGCTCAGATCAAACCAACCACTGTCCTCGGTCCTCACGCCATTCTCTGTCCCTCCATCCCCCTCCAACTCATCCTATCCCGTACAGCTTCTCCTCCTATGTCCTCCATCTTTTAAAGATCCTCTCCATTTGGTAGTTAATGGTCCCCTCTGAGTGCCATCTTTTTCCCACGCTGTCATTCCTCTGCGTTTTTCCTCTCCTCTTCACTAAAACATGTCCTCTTAAAAAATGAAGCCTTCTTGAGACATTCCCCCACTTTGATTTTACTTTCACGTGCAGAGCGCAGGAAAAACTCCACTGATCAGTGGGGTGCAGTGAGGAAAGAGAGGGGGGGGAAAGTGTCTATAAAAATATAAACAAATATGAAAAGCCTAAATGTACAATGTACATTTCAGAGCTTATGCTGCTAACAGAAAAAGCAAAACTAAAAGAGCAGCACTGTAACTCTTTTGCACAGTTTGACAGCGCGGTGTGGCTGCACACTGGGGGGACAGAAGCATGAGAATGAGTCGGTGGGAGAAAAAACTCATATATAAATAAATAAGGGAAGGATGCCACTGTTGCTACACAGAGCGAGGGGCTTAGTATTCTCCTGAAATCCAATTGGTCGGCTTGTTGCCATGTGCTCAGCAGACAACAGAGATGCTGCTAACAAATCAAGGAAATGTTCTAATATTAGACTGTATGTATCTAGGCAGCAGGAGTCCCTGACCTCTCAACTTCGCCAGCGTTACTTTCCACCTCACGGATCAGCATAATGAAAGAAGTGGTGTGGAAGTAACTGGTTATAAAAAAAAAAAAATGTTACGGCACTATAGACAAAACAACCCCCCTCCCCTCACCTCCACCACCCAAGCACCCTCGTGATGTCCCAGCCAGCACAGTTACAGTAATGGGGAAAACAGATTCATGTTCTCTCTAGAATTTTTGTATTTGCCTTTTAAAGCATTTTGCTTCTACCTACAGTTTGCACATGGTGTTGATGAAACTTATATATAAGCAGCAATGCAGCAAATCAGGTCCATGCATTAAAAATTAAACAAATTGAGTGCTGAGGGGGGAAAAAAAATAAAGATCATCTGCAATTGTGCCCTATTTACATTTGTGGTATGACTGATGCTCAGTCATCTCTCTAATATGTCTTAAATTACACTACTACTGCATTTCTAGCACATTCAACAGAGTTGGGACAGTTCCTTGTTCTAGATGAATTTGTGCTCATTATTAAAAGCAGGAAACAGAAATATTCATATCATAAATATTATTATTTAGACTTCATAAACTCAAACATTGTTTGGTAGTTAGAAAGGGGTGTGATGTATTTGCCTTTTTTCTGTTTATTTGGAAAATATGATTTCCTTAATAATATCAACCATTTTTAAAGATGCATTTATCTAATATGTTCATTATTTATCTTGCTTATCGCCCTTTTATGCAGTCAGTAATAGGCATCAGATTCGATGCATGCAAAAGGTCTGAAAAGCATTTTCCTCTTTACACATGGCAGGTATTATTTACTGTGATGTGCTCTGCTCTGCCTGTGCAGGGTTGTATTCATTTCAGTTGTGAAGTCTTATCCAACTTTAAAAGTGTGATGAGGACAGATAAAAAAAAGAAAGACAGACAGAAGAGTAATCTGAAGAAGTAAAAGGAAGTTGAAGAAAGAGGTAATAAAGAGGGGTAAGGGGAGTGAAGGACATGCAAGGCTGAGAAAGAGGGAGTAAGCATAAAAGGGGGATGAGCAGCACTGGACTGAAGTTTGAAGGGTGAGGGGGAAGGTTATTAAGGCTTGCTGTTTTTAGTTGTGACAGGCGATTGCTTACACAGCTGGCTATCTAGCTGAGAGGGAAAATGAGGCATTTGTTAGAAAAAGGAAAACATTGGAAAATAGGCAGTGAAATAACCCGGTGTTTAGATGGAAAGAGTTAACAGGTATTCATGAATATTTATCTGCAGCCTCCGGCAGCTCCAGTGACCTGGTTAGACTCAACGTCTGGCCACAGCCCTCATGGCGCCTACATGGAAAGTGAGAGAGCGGTCTGAAATGAAAGACGATTAAACACAAGATTAAACCTCACTCAGCTGACTGCCTTGTGCTGCGGAAGAGGCGTAACTGCTGATTGTCCGGGTATGTAGACTCAATCTTACAAATCAATGAGCAAGACTGCTTAAGAGTGAAATATACAGTCTTTATCTCCTCACGTGCTTGTATTGCTAGGCCTCATTATTAAATAATGCTGATCACAACATTTTAATACAGAGACTAGAATACACCTTTGACATAATCATCACACTATAATGATCTTAGCTTATGTATGTTCCCCCATCTTCTCCTACACAATTGGAGCAATCGTGATGAAACATTGCTTAGGGCACTGTGAATGCCATCATCTATACTGTGTATACAAATACTTTATACAGATCCCACAAAAAGTTCAGTTGAGCACTGAACCAACATGTGTGCATACTGCACGAGTTTGCTAGTTAAAGGAGATACACTGAATGAATTTGAATCATCGTCTATCTCATAGATTCCAATTTTTCCATATAAATGAGAAATCTCACACAGAAGTTAGTCATGGAGTTCCACAGGGTTCTGCACTAGGACCAAGACTTTTTAGGCTATGCGTGCTTCCCTTTGGTAATGTTATCAGAAAGCACTGTATGTTTTTATCTATGAAGTCAGATGAGACAATCAGGAGTACTAACAAGGATTACAGAGAGAGACCCTAATCCTCAAATATCATCTTCTCTTTATTGGGTCTATATTATACCAAGAATTGAAATTAAAATCCTTCTCCTCGCATACAGAACTATCGTGTTCCATCATATCTTAAATACCTCAAAGTACCACATTATCACAGTGGAACGCGTCACACTCAGACTGGAGGGTAACTTGTGGTTCCCAGAATTTCTAAATGTAGAATGGGAGGCAGGGTTATCAGTTACCAGACCCCTTTCCCAAGCTCCCAGTTTGGATTCCTTGACCTCAAGGTCCAGGTCAGAAGTCAAGTTTTTCCAAAAAAAAATCTTGCAAACTCAACTCAAAAAGGATGTCACCTAGAATTTTTAAATTGATACCATCTAATATCAGCTTTTTTAAAAACTGTGTTCAAACGGATTAGTCCCGTTTATCCCCACTCGAATGTAACCGTGTAGCTCCATAGTTCAGTGGTTTACCTGTTTGTCTAATTAGCAAAAGAACTCTCATTCAATTCTTCTGGTATTAAAAACAAAAAGATTATAGCTGCCAACTCAAACATGTGGCACTCCTTGCTTTGAAACACCAACACCCACAAACTTTTATGTAAATATGTTTATTTTAGACAATAATATATATATATTTTTTTTTTATAACAACATAATGCACAGACAGTTAGTGCAGACTATGACAGTTAAGGTTTACACATCAGTTAGCCAGGAAAGGAAGACCACAGAGCAACATTCATTCAGTTCAGTCACGCTGGACGATGTGACGTCCATGTGATGATTTTTGATGACATTGGGGTATAACTGTACACTACGCCACTGTGTGTGCGCATGTGTATGGAAAACCAATAGATGTATTTTTTGGATGTACATTATGTGGTAATGATGTGTTGCCCTTAATAGTAAAATATTAGTGGTGTGCAAATGATAAATGTAACATCTCAAGGCATGTCATAGAGAAAATAAACATATCTTAGAGACCTAAAGTAAATAATAACCATTGAAGAATCTTATGGAAATATAATATTCTCTTAACAATATTTTGTACACTGATCAGCAACAGCATTAGTATCCCGGCTCTGACTCGTCGGAGCCTGAAAAGGGATTTCTGGCAACAGGTTTTTTTGGTTCTGTGGGTTTGTGGAGGCTGACTCCACATGTTCTTGAGCTGTGCCTCAGCAGTTTTTGTGGTGTGAGAGTCTAAATTTTGTCTATCAAGTGACATAAGCCAAATCAAAGCTGACCAGCTAAACAAAGTATATTAACTAAATAATCCAATTATTTTTCACTTCACCCGTCGGGTGTATATGTTGTGGCTGATCAGTGTAAATGGAGGACATGGCAAACTATAAATATGCGTTTAAGTAAATTCCAGTGGAGCTTTTCACAGCTCATATCCAGTTATGTTTGCTGGTGTGTCTGCCCCAGTTAGCGGCTTTGATCGTGTCAGTCTGCAGGCCAGCACTTGTGTGGGCTCGTGGGGCTCCGTGGCTGGGCCTTTGGACTCCCCTGAAAGACAACATAAAGGACAGGGTTACATTTTAAATGCTTGATGGTAACGATTGTATGCATTCACTTCATCGCCTTCCCAAGAAGACCATAGCTTGCATGACTGTGGTGACACCTAAAGGGGGCAGCGGTGCACCTTCATTTAGTGCAGCCCACACCCTAACTATAGCTTGGAGCACTGCAGCGGAACTGATCCTACCACCTTTAAATACAAGAGGCATCATTCACTCAAAGTTGTTTATAAGTGTGACCTAACTTTAACTAACTCGCACGCTTTATTTATTAGATTCAAAGGTGATTTTACAACCCTAAATTTAAACTTGGCAAGCTACAATGTGAAATCTTGCAATATGTGCATTAGGGACACTGTAGGTTGCATAATATAAAAATAGCTGGGAGATGGGAGCTGATAACCAAAAAGTCTCAAAGTTACAAGGCGAACACGGGGGATTGGGGTCGGCTTTGTTTTGTAAAGGAACCGCCTGGCTTCTCTTTGAAGTGCTGAATCGGTTCTGCTGACGTTGGATGACTTAATCAAATTGTACTGTACTTTACAATCAGATTTGGCAAAAGGGAAATTCTCGTGATGTTTGGCCCAAATCACTGTATTATAGCGCTCCAAACATTTTGAAGAGACTTTCTTTGAAGCGGGCCCGCTCAGACGAAATAAACATGCTGATTTGGATAAAAATGATAGCTTTTGTCATCAGATGTAGCCGTGATGTCGCATAGCCTCATTCAAAGTGTGTAATGTTGAATTTTCTGTTTACTGCTGGTGTGATTATTAGAAAAGTGAAGCTCAGTGTTTCCCTGATGGAAAAAGAGAAACTGTTTTAAAAACTACTATAATTTTGATTCTTGAAAGTGGTCCTTCTTAGCTGATAAACTTAAGCAACAATGCGAGCATCACAACTAATTCTAGCCACCCTGTTCATATATGATGGGCCAGACTTTGTGAAGAAGGCTTGCGGCATTTTATTAGATTTTTATGCAGAAGGGCATTATTCTTGTCACAGGGTGGCATGTGACCTTTATACAAAACACACAGTGCTTGTAACTATGCTGTG